CATTTATGTCAATATACTCACTCTCACATTGTCTTTCACTTTCCTTATGCTTTCTAGGCTCCTAGAAGTTTTATGTGCAAATGTTCTGACTATGTAGAAAACTAAGTGAAATCCCAGAACTCACAAAACTCACAAAGCCCAGATCCTGAGAAAGAACAGTGGTCTTCTTAAAGCTTTAAGACAAAGCATTACTGAGGCTGTGGGGGCAAATCAACACATCCCACTGCACTGGAGGTAGGAAACTAAAGACAAGGACAAAATTAGATTGTGTGAGAAAAACATGTTTTTCAAGGATATATAGAAAGAGACATTTATCAAGAAAGAAATTTTGTCAGTCAGCAAAAGATCACTGAGTCTCACACAATGTGCTGGACGTTATTGGTATGCCTCAGAACTGGGCACAGCCCTTGTCACAAAATCACATATACTGATCCCTAATCCCTGTCTTTGGATGATTTACCTTCCTTTTGTCGAGATATCTAAAAAAAATACAATTTTTGACATTCAGGCATGGCCAGAACACACACTGGACATGTGTCAAGCTTTGGACACCCCAACATTTCTTCCATTATCTATAGAACCAGGCCAGATGCTGGTGTGCAGACATAGCTATGGCATCCATGGGAAAAGAGAACATGCTCTACTCTGCAGCCAGCCCAAGGCTGGCTTTCATTATGTTCCAACAAGGTCATCAAACTGTTAGGAGTATGGAAAGAGCCAGAGCATTGGCACTGAAAGGAATAAACATTTGAGAAATCATCCTGAAGGGGCAAGTTGAAAGGACTTGGGCATGCTCGCCTGACCAGCAGCCGGGGTGAGGCCTGTCCTAGGTAATGAAGAGGTATCTGTCATGGTGCCAGGGGCCCACAAAACAGGAGATAATGGCTTTGGAGGCAACTATGAGATTTCTAAAGAGATTTGGGTCTGTCAGCCTTTGCAATGTGTGTCCAAAGGAAATTATAGATGGCCTTTTCCTAACCCTTCCCCAAGATTAAGAATAATCAGAGATAATCCAGTTTCAAAGGATAAACTAGCCTCAAGGAGAAGGCAAAGTTTCATTTCAAGGCTTAGGTCACTGTTATTGTGATGTGACTTGTGATGTGATGTGATGTGATATGATCACTGCTCTGTGATTCCCTGATTCCACTTGGGGATCTGTCATTTAACAAATGCAAAGTGTGTACATTCATGAGTGAGTGAGAGTGAGCAAGTATATACGTTTATGTGTAAGTATGTGAGAGCTTGTGTGTCAGAAGGAGCCTACGTGTATAGAAATGGGAGGGGTGATGTGAGTGTGTGCCTATAGTGGGGGGTGTAGGGCTCATCTCTTTCCTTCTCTGAAAAACAAATACAAACACTCTTTGGGAACATTTTTCCAAGGAAAGTTGGCACTTCTGTGGAGACACACTCTAGCTGCTCCATTCCTAAGAGAAAACATGGCTTTCCCAAGACCATGAGCATCAGCTTCTATCTTACCACCTGCTCCAGAAAGAGTACAGATGGCATCATCACTGATGGAATGGAGGTCACATTCCAAGAGACAGGCTTGCTCCAGGCCAGATACAGAGGAACGACGTGAACATCATTTTCTACCATCTATAAAAATGGTCACACCCTTTATTCTGAACACATGGCTTTCTACTTTACTACAGAAGAAAAAAAGAGAAAGTTACATGTGCTCCAAGTTCAATATGACTTCTATGCCATTTTACTTTTATAACTAAGGAAAGAAAACAGCATTTTCCTAGCAGGAACAGAAATTCAGTTTAGTTTCTAAAGATTTACTTTAAGAAAAAGGCCCAGATATGTGGACACATTGCAATAAAATTCCAAGGAAATATCTTGTCCCATGTCTAGTCTACTTCTTCTGGAGTGAATGAAGAAAGAAAAAAAAATTGTTTTCATCTCTCTGAGTTTCAAATATTATACTCTAAATGCTTTGCAACTTCTTTCCTGAGCATTACATTTTCTCTTACATATTTTGAACATCCAGTCAGATAAGATTACACATTTCTACAAATCCTGGGTCTACTGTGGTTATCTGAGGCCCAAAGATTGGAAAACCAAGCAAACATTATCTTGACCTCTTTTAATACACAAATGCTCATGGTGGACAGTCAGTGTTAATAATAATAATTATTATTATTCTTATTATTAGGTTTCTCTGTGGCTCAGTGAGTCACAGCTGTCTCTAGACTCTTTGGGGATGGGGGGTGGCCATCATTATTGGCCTAGGCTGTGGGAGGGGGACACTTGTGGGCACCTCTCTACTTCTTTGCTGGACCAATGTAAAGCACTTCCATATGCCCCTCTTATAACACTTCTTAGAAAGCTCCTACCACAGCACGTAAGGGTAAGTCAAAAACTTGCACTGAGGAAATGGGAAAATGATAAGATATGAATAAACAATCTGAAAGCAAACACAATTCCTCCTCTACGAATGGTAATGTCCCTTAACATGGCTAAAATGGCACAGATATCCTAAAGCCAAGTTCCTTAGCTGATAAGCACTGTTGGAATTATTTTAGGGATTAATGATTGTTTCCATTTGTTTGAAAGAAATCATGTGGTTTTTCCATGATTTCCCAGGAAGAAGCGGATTTATCGCCTATCGAGCATGAATGTGTTTAAATAATTGTTGGGAATCCTGGTATCAGAAAAACTGCTTAAGAGATGATGCGGGTGATTGTCTGATAATGCTAAGCATTCCATATCCAAGTTGGTTTGTGAATATTCACTCTTACAGTCAGCCAGTAGACATGGATTACCAAACAAAGGGCAGTGTCATCGTGGCTGTTACTTAAAGACATATCTCAGTCAAGAGCCGGGAATTAGGTGAGAGGAGGATCTTCAGTAAGTAGCCACAGACTTTAGTTCAAAGCTAGGTCACAGGGTGCAAAGCAGGGTTCTTCGGAGCCGTGCTGACCTCCTTAGTTCCAGAATATAGGAATAGGCGAATACTACAACAAGTCACAAGCCACAGAGGAGAGTCTCAGAGGCTCGCCTTCTAGTTCAGAGCTGTGACAGTCCATCTACTTTATGGGTGCATGCCATGATTTCTGCAGTTTGTAGGGAAACTAACAGTGTGCAAGCAACGTAAAGGGCTTTCTCATGTTGCTATATTTGGAAGAATAAAGGGTATCTCATCAGGTGAGCAAACAGTTGATAATGCAAAGACACAAACATTATGTCCTGTTTTTATTCCAGAAGTTTACCCCAAGAACCTCCTTTCATTGAGAGTTAAAGGGGCTTAAGATGAAACAACTATAAAGATAACTAGAAAAAAAAAATGGAAAACAAAACAAAGAATAGAAAACCACTCTGTGATACTGAGGGTAATGTAATAGCAAGATACATGTCCTTAGAAAATCGATTACGTGAATGCAATCTTCTGACAGTCAGCTAAATTTCTTTCCTTTCTGTATCCAGCTTTTTAAACTTTAAATTTGGCAAATGTAACATTTTTGAAATGGCTTTAAATCAACTGAAGTGGCAGTTTATCTTAGTGAGGTTAATTGTGTTATTTATTAATCCATTATCTTATAGTTTCTACTTATTTTTTGCCCAAAAAGTGTTCGAGCTGGATACATCAAGTTATGAAAGCATTTAACATTTTAAATTAAGACACAAGGAATTCTAAATGACACTTGAGATGTCCTTGAGAGAAGCCTCTCATCTCTCCATGTTTATAGATGTCACATATATTCATAAATCAAATCCTGTGCATATTTAAGCCAGGCCAAAATACTAAAAAGCACCATGTCCCCCATTAGAAAAAAAAATGCAATTATTCTGCTTAGTTATGTTTTTAAAATAGCTTGAGATTTTAAATAATTGATGAATATGTAATTTGCTAATCAGTAATGGACAGTTCCCATGGAGGTACCATCGCTAGTTTCATAATTTACTATTTCAGAAGAATTTTATGAATACAAAGATTAAAGCCGGGAAGTAGAGAGAAATCACTCCAGGATAACATTATCCTATTTAACACCCATAATACTTAACAGTAACAACAATTAAGCCTCACAAATTAAGAAGATGCACTGAATTGTTGTTGGGTGAGTTACAGATAGACATTTTATGTGTCATGATTCTCCCCATACTGAATTCCCCATAGACCACCATGTACCCAAATGAACATCAGAGCAACATACTGTTCCTGTAAAGGATTAAATGATATTTTAGTTTACGACTTTATTTCTTGACTCTTTTCTCCAAGTGATAATAGAAAACTTATTTACCATGCATGAACACTTACATTCTCTTTCTGAGAACATTTCTGATGTTGTTGGGATAAGAGAGGAAAGTCATTTATTTAAAGATCGCCTTATTAGTCTATAGTTTTTGGTAAATATCTAGATTATCTGGTTGGTCAATTTGTCTTTATGGCCTAAGGAAGAAGACTAGCTGCCGTGTTCAATCCAGATGAGTTGGTATATGAATATTTATAAGGACATCGAGATTCACAGTGTCTTACAATCATGCTCCAAGCTAAATAGAAATAAAAGCAGAATGGCCACAAATATTACAGTATAATAGGATAAGAGGTAAAAGGTATGTACAAATTCATTGACAACATCTGTGCAAGTGTTGTAGACAAAACATTTAAAAAGAAATCTACATAAAACAAAGTAGGTAAATTTATCAAAGATTGATAAATTTTCAGAGACAATATAAAAGTACACAAAACACGGAAGAGAGAAAGAATTGTTAAAAAAATAACCGCTAAGCCAATACATACAGTACAAGTTTACTACATTAATATTACAGAATGATGGGAACCAGAGACAAAAAAAACGATTTGGTAACAAACAGCAAAGAAAGTTTCACCAGTCACAGAGAAGAAAGACTGTCCTTTTTGGATGAGAACACAGACTGCCATGACTCAGCCCCTCCACCCATACACACATAGAAAAATAAAAGCAAATGCAAAAGTTGTCTACAGCAACACACGACAGACAGAGGTGGAAGCGTTTGGCATGTTGCATCACAGGAAGTCAATCACGATTGGCTAACGATGATGGTACCTGGCTCTGTTGCAGGTCACTGGCTTGCCTGAGAGGAGTGACCGATGGCGGGGGCACACCTGACGTGGAGGCAGAACGGCCTAATTTGCAGCTTACTTTCGGTTCTGTGAACAGGGGGAGAAGGAAGAGCATTAGCTGAGCGACATCGGCAATGACAAACAGCGCTCAGATCCCCATTCTGCTTTGCTGCATCTTCTTTCAAACCCTCAAATACTTCTGACGCTTGCTAGCCTTTGGCGGGGGATGGAATGATGTCATCACCACGGACTCTAAAATAAGCTTTATTTGCAGTCAGCTCCTAGAAATAAAGAATAAATCACAGAAGTCCAGCTCTTTGTTCCTTCGGACATTTTACCTCACTTAAGGTTAGTTTCTACAGAGTGATTACGAGAGCCAGAGCCCCATTCAGGGAAAAAGCAGGTGACAGAGTCACTCTAGGTACTTTCTTTTCAGATTTGGTCTGTAGGTCTCCTAGGTCCTGAAATGTCTTTGTCACCTTCTCCAAAACTTCTTTCCTTTTGTACTCCCTCCCTTCCTCCCTCCTATTTTTTTTTTTTCTAATTTTGAAATCAATATCACTGTGCTTGTCCTGAATATGTTTATCATGTTTTCAGTGGAGCATTTCTCTGATTCACTATTCACTTTCAATTTTATAACCACTTTCTAAGACTCTTGCCATTTTTCATAATAATAGTATTTTTTTTCCAAATTATAAAGGCATTTCCCCTACCTCTTCTTCTATTTCAGGAGCCCAAATGGGCTGTCCAGGTCATGGACAGGTTACTTTGGAGATTAGAATTTGGGGATGGAAAGAGTTCGCTTCATCCAACAAGGTACAGAGAGTATGTTAATTTTCATATATATTTGAGGACATTTGATAAGAGAAGAAAAAAGTCATACAATGAAAATTGACACCATGCTTTTGTTTAATATTAACTGTTACTTTTTGAGTGTTGGGTATGTTCCATCTTCTAACTGGACTACATTTAAATTGTTTCTAATTCTAAGGTTACTCTATAGAGTTATAGCATTAGCTATAAAGACTGCCTGTGTGTGTGTGTGTGTGTGTGTGTGTGTGTGTGTGTGTGTGTGTGAAACTTCCCGGCTAACCCCCATAATCTCTCTGCTCAAAACTAACTTGGACATGGGGCATCTGGGTAGCTCAGTTGGTTAAGCATCTGAGTTCAGCTCAGGATATGATCTCAGGGTCCTGGGACTGAGCCCTGTGTAGGTTACGTGCTCAGTGGGGCAGTCTGCTTGTCCCTCTGCCCCTCCCCCAACTCATGTTCTCTCTCGCACTCTCTCTCAGATAAAAAAAATAAACAAAATCTTAAAAAAGACTAACTTGAACACATGGACTGAGCTTCCTAGATTACTTTAAAGCCCTCCACCTTGTTCAAAATTTTCCCTTTACCCCATATTTCATATGATAAACACTTCAAACACACCCAACTAATTTTCAAAGGCCTCCTGTGATGTAGCTTCGTCTGATCATCCACTCTCTTTCCACTATTCTGCTGTTCAAAACACATGCAACTGTTTCCTCTCTCAGTTTCTGCGTTCAGTCCTGCCTCTGTCCGTCACCTCACGGTGTGCCCTTGTGTGGACTTTCATCAGACTAAGTCTTACCCGTTTCCGATGACCAACTTCAGCATGTCCTTCCTATTGTCAAGCGTCCCGGTTCTCTTCCAAGACCACCTGACCACTTACACCATGTTTGCCGTGCTCACTGCAGCTTTGAGCACTTACGTTGGTGGGGACCACATAATATGTGTTCAATTAATATGTACTTTTCTTTCGCTGAAAACACTCAATTTAACCTAGAAAAGGTCAAGGCAACTCCTAAAATAAGTGAAGGCAATGAAGATAATGTGGAATATACTGTAAGGTCTGGGTTCAAAGCCTAGCTCTCCAACTTGCAAAGGCAGTGATTCTCATTCAAAGGCCTGTGACCTTCTAGGATCCATTTCAGAGGAGGCACGACGTTTGGAAACTCTCCCTTCCTTGGTTTTATGCAGATGATTCTAGTATCTACGCACCTACTTTATTTATTTATTTATTTATTTAGTAGGCTCCATACCAGTATGGGACTTGAACTCGTGACCCTGACATCAAGAGTCACAAGCTCCACTGACTGAGCCAGCCAGGTATCCCCACTCACCCACTGTTGAAAGGTGTTTAAATATAACAGTATTATACAGTGACATAAACTATCACTGTAATTTAGAAATTAAGCTCATTTCCCAGGAAGCATAAATCCTTGTATACCTTAGCATATCACCTTTTGTTATATAAAGCAACAGGTAAAGCATCCATCAGAATCCTGGTTGACATGTTTTTATAATGAGGTCAATGTTTCTATATATATCCCCTTACTGTGGTAGCACGTTTAGTCACTTGGAGTCAGAAAATTCAGTATCTTTCCCTAAGAAAGGATGGCAAATAATATTTCTTTACTTAAGGTCCTTTTCAAGTTTATGTTAAGGAGATTATCTGATGAGTGAAGGCCTTTTACATTATCCAGTGTACCTAGGGATTAATTTCTCCTGCTAGGTTTCCAGTCAGATTTTGACTTAACCAGCCTCTTTTGAACATAGACACTGATATCTCTAATGAACAGACTGAGATGTACCAAAATCCATGCAAACTCCCCATTTCATTATGACCTGGAAAGGCCTTTCCTTACTCCCATTGGACAGCAATCCAGAGCATGTCCCAGCTCATCAAGCCCTCTTGGGTATTCCAGTATGAGCCATTAAATCCCCATTATACACAGAAGATTGCTCTACTAGCCAACTACCCTGTGGGCTAACTCTAACGTTGAGGTTACATTGGAGTCAATTGTTCCATCCCAACATGGCTCCTATGGGTTGTGATTCTACCTACAGCAGTAGACTAACACTATGACTGTAAGTTCATTATGTACACGTGCTTACACAGGCAAACAGAAACATACACACACACACACTGCATAACACTGCTGCTTAATGGTGTCATGTTTTTTTAAACAATTTTTAAATTTAATTTTTAAAATTCTGAGGGTTGGGTTTATCTTTATCTCACTCATTCTGCATCTTCTATCAGTTTTTCATGGTTCTTAAACACAGTTCACATTTATTATCGTATTTATGTAATCAAGTTGGTGAAATAAATCTTTATGATGTTGATTCCACCAAAGTTCCTTTGACTAAAATAATTGTCTAAAGAAGTCCCAAAAATCCTAGAAAAGATTCTGATTATAGCCAAGCCTCACAGAGGTTCTTTCGGGCTGTGACATAGACGTGAAATCGTCCGGCTCACTTACCCTTGGAAATACACTATGCTTTGAGCCTTAAACAGGGAAGCTTAGGAGCCATGACACTAAAAACAATAAGTTTTCTTCCTGAATTTTGCTAATATAAAAAAAAATTGCCAAGGCTTTTTTTTTTTTTTTTTCAAAAACAATGGACATGCGCCTAAAAAGAGATCTAAGGTAGAACTTTCTTCCCCCAAGAAAAACTCCATTCCATTAAGAGATTAATGATGCACTAAAAGGCACCTGTTATCCTACATTCAAGGGAAACTTCTTGCTTTGTAAACTCTATCATCATCCTAGAAGTAACACTTGATATTGTATATGAAATTTCCCTGACGATCAAGTGTAGAGAGAGTAAGAAGGAATAAGAAAAAGGCAGTGGATTAAGAAAGAGAATCAGAGGGGGAAAGGAAGAACAAAAAAAGAAACGGGAGGCAGGAAGGGAAAGAGGGTGGAAAGAGAGAAAGAAAGAGAAAAAGAAAAAGAAAGAATAAGAAAGAAAAGAAAAAACTAATTTGAACTTTTTGGCATAAGATATTGATGAGGGAACAGAAGGCTGGCCGAAGACAAAGCAAAAGCTGATACCCTGCAACCTTCCCCCACCCCCACTCCTGGGTGGGACATATGTGACATTCTCTAGGAATCTTCCAATAATCTAATGTTAATACCTTGCTAAGAAGGGAAAAACAACCTTGATAATGGCAAGGCCTTTGGTATCAGGTACTTGTAGGTCCTTTTTAGCATACGAAAATTCTATTGAAACCTCCCTTTTTCCTTACCTCCCCCAACTCCATAGTGCATAACCTGCCACTCCTCACAACCCCGGGGCACAAGCTTTTTCTGCCCACGGGTCCTGTCCCCGTGCTTTAATAAACCACCATTTTGCACCAAAGATGTCTCAAGAGTTCTTTCTTGGTCATCGGCTCCAGCCTCTACCTCCCTGAACCTCACCTATATTCTTTTTTTTTTTTCAAAGATTTTATTTATTTATTTGTTAGAGAGAGAGAGAGAGAGAGCATGAGCTCAGGCAGGCAGAGTGGTAGGCAGAGGCAGAGGGAGAAGCAGGCTCCCTGCCGAGCAAGGAGCCTGATGTGGGACTCGATCCCAGGATGCTGGGATCATGACCTAAGCCGAAGGCAGCCGCTTAACCAACTGAGCCACCCAGGCGTCCCCTCACCTATATTCTAAAACCTCATCAGTATTATCATGGGATGTTTCCAGAGTAATAACTCATGATCATCTTAAAGTTTTTATTAAATAAGTACCCAGTGGACTGTGTGACTTAATATTTCTTTCTTTTTATTCTTAGTGGGCACAACTTATCACTGTTTTGTTTTGTTTCAGAGATAGTCATTTCTTAATCATTTCTCATCTTCCCTTTAAGGTGAATTGGATTTCTCTTCAAAATCATGTCCTTGGTACTGTTACAGGATAATCTCCCAGGCATCCCCGCTATTTGGAGGATCAGAGTTCTCTTTGCTTTCAGAAAGCAGACAAATGACTCTTCTCCACCTCTGCATCTACACAGAAACAGGAGATTAGTGCATTTCAACCAAAGAAAACACTTTCATCTAGCATCAAAGAAATAAAATCAGTCAAATTCAGAGACATATCTTTCCTCTGTCTTATTTTTTTTTTTCTAATACACAGTATCTTTCTGTAGTAGCAGAGACATATCATGATTTCCCCAAGTCAGTCATATTGCTGAAAGTTTCTAATCAATAACTTAAGGCTAAATGAGAGTCAAGGCTTTTTAAAAATACACCAAAGTGTGCTTATTACAAACTCTACTTTCATTTCTAGGGAAGG